GGTTTGACGAGTGCTGGTTAGTTATGCAGTTGCCGGTAAAGCCAATATTAAAGCCGCAGCGGAGGCTGTTAATAACATACGAAGCCAATGAACTGTCAGGGTGGCTACGGAGCAGTAGTTTGAAGCGAGAAACAGAGAGAGGTGTGTTGACAGCAGTACATGCGCTTGTGAAATCAGTAGAACTTGAAGTGCAGGGAGAAATATTTAAAATCACAGTAGCTTGCAGCCAAAGCAGCAGAGTTACTGGCGCCTACCGCACTTGGATCCAACGTACAGACATTGGCGTACTTGCACATGCCCAGACTGCAACGCCCAGCATTAAAGTTGCGGCAGATTGGTTGGTCATTAGACATCGTACTGACTCCGTTGAAGGATTGCTGGTTGCTACGTTGGGGACGAAAGGGACGTTGGGGACGAAAGGGACACTGGCTGCCTCCGGGATGTACGAGGCGGCATGACTCACATGTGGGCCTTGATCGCCTAGTACAGCACTCGCACACATGTGGCAGGTTTGAGTTTTTTGAGCTCCGTAGGTTTTCGTCGTTTTTTCCCAGCCCACCCGGCTTCAGGCCGGAGTGGAGCATCACGCTTTCCATACTGTTTACAGAATGCTTCCAAACTGGGATACAGCCCAAGACATGGAAGATTGCCAACATAGTCCCTATATTCAAACGGAAATCAAAGTATCTACCCTCCAATTACCGTCCAGTTTCGCTCTTGTGTATTCTGTCCAAGGTGATGGAGACAATCATCAACAGAACAATCACAAATTTCCTCGAGTCGAACAACATCTTCTCCACCAGACAGTTTGGATTTCGCCATGGTCATAGTGCAGCCGACCGACCTTCTTACCAGCCTCCACCACCAGTGGCTGCATACAGCCGGGGAGAAAGGCGCAGCACGCATACTCGCCATTGACATCGCCGGTGCGTTTGATCGCGTATCACACCCCGGTGTGCTACACAAGTCCGACGTATACGGCCTGCGTGGGCAACTGCACCAGTGGCTCAGCAGCTACCTCAGTGAACGCTACCTTCAAGTGGGTCATTTGTGGCCAGACATCCTCAAGGCTCCCAATTCAGGCTGGAGTCCCCCAGGGCAGTATTCTGGGTCCGACTCTCTTCCTCATGTACGTGAACGACTGCGAGGACCACGTACCAGCCGGTGCTGACCTAGCCTCGTTCGCAGACGACACTACGCTGCATGCCAACATCACCCCCACCACCCAAGAAGATACCACCCAAGCCCTCCAGCTAGCAGTCTACAACATCTCCCGCTGGGGTCAAGAATGGATAATAAAATTCGAACCAGCCAAATCCCAGGCCCTGACTGTCAGTTTCCACCGCACCCAATGGGACATGCCACCGATTGACTTCAACGGATCAAATGTGACAGAACAGGAGGAGCTCAAAATCTTGGGCATCAGTTTCGATGGTCACCTTACCTTCCGGCGCCACCTTCGTACCGTAGCCCACCGGGCAACACAGCGACTTGGTGCTTTGCGTAAGGCTTTCCACCTCCTAGACGTGCCCGGTCGCATCCAAGCCTACAATGCTTTTGTGCGCCCAGTGATGGAGTACTGCCTTATTGTCTGGATGGGAGCGGCCCCATCCCATCTTGCAAGACTCGACCGTGTGCAAGCCCGGGCCATCCGTGCCATAGCCCCAATGTGTTGGCTGCCGAGTCTTGCTCTTCGTCGGATGGTTGCAGCACTTTGCCTCCTTTACAAGATGCATTGTCCGGATGTGCATCCCCTTCTACAGAGGATGCTGCCACCCCAGCAGCCCCAACACTGAACAGTCCACTCCACCCGTAGTACATTCCAGAGATGTAATGCTCATGCACACAAACTGGCCAATGGACTTCCAGTCCGTTCCCGAAACAACCTGTGTCGAGCCTACCCTCACGCAATTGTCCCCGTCTGGAACCTGCTGCCCGCCGGAGTCTTCGCTGGTCCTTTCTGCACCAAGAACTTGCAACACTTCAAAGTTGCAGCCAACCGCTATTTGAAGACCAACGACTGGTCGTGGGCACATGACCATCTCTGATTATCAGCATCATATCTGCCTCACCCCATGACTTCCAAATTCCGCTCCACATACTATTCCCAATAACGTCTGCTCTTCTTTTCTCTCCTCCTCCTAGCACTGTCTGTCTTATCATTCCCCTCCTTCTAATGTACAGTCAAATCTGCCGTTAGCGACCTCTGCTGTAGGCGACCATCTACCGTTAGCGACCGATTTTCCGTGCACCGACGGTTTCACATACAAACTGATCTGTCCAGAGCGACCATCTGCTGTGCGCGACCAGCGACCGCGATTTCATGCACGGTGGCTGCATTCAAATCTGCTGTAAGCGACCGCGACCCAGGTTCAGTAAGGTGCGAAAATGTACTTGCCAGTGCGCTGTCAACTGCAAAGTGTGAAAATGCGCTGTCTTGCAAGTGCGATCGACTGGCGCCTGGCCTGTACTCAGGCTGTGCTGTAGCTCTCAAGTCCAGGCAGTGTCGATCTCCTGCCGTGTCGCATACGCGTACTATACGGGTATGGTCGTCGTTGAATATCCAATATTAATAAAAATGATATTAAAAATCACATTATTCTCGTCGATTTGAGTACATGGAAGCATATACAGTGGTATGCCGGATTTACCATACATCTGCCGTAGGAGACCATCTGCCGTAAGCGACCGCTTTTTCTTGCACCAAGGGGCGGTCGCTTACGACAGATTTGACTGTACTGTCTCTCCTCCTAACATTTCGTATCATGTACCTCAGTGTCACTCCTTTCATTTTTCTTCTTTTTTTGGTGCGTTTTATGTCCCCATGACGTCGAGACCTCAGGTCGGCTGAGGGCAAAAAGCCTCACCACCAGTATGCCCCCACTATGCGATTTTTTGTCTTTGCCTGTGAGCTGTGATCATTGTAAAAAAATAAAAAAATAAAAAAATAAAAAGTCACTGGCATTTGCCACAGATTAATGTCGATGACGTCGAAGCGCTTGCCTGCCTGAGCAGCAATGTCAGAGTAAAACTGGTTGTAGTACTACAGCCAAGCCTCCAGATAGTATTGCCTGTTGGCAGCAACAATGGCAGCTTGGTATGAGAGCATCTCCTGTAGGCGGAGCGGGTTGGCAGAACACACGACGCTCATAAAGAGAGTCCTTGCCTTCGCCATGTCGGCAAGTCGTGGACCCGTCGACAAACTGGCTGGGCAGTGCCACCTTCCACCACCTCCAGAGACTTGCCGCCACTGCTGAACTGCAGCTGAGGCTGGCATGGAGCAGAATACGAAATTGCCATGGTATCGAGCAGCAACTGGGTGAAATGTACAAAGTCACCCTTTCATATTTTCTCTTGTAAAGTCGGGGGAACGGCGAGATTACCAGCGTTGGGAGACTCCGCCGGAGGTTGAGTTCCAGATCCAGGGGCAGTAATGGTGGCCAGCATTGGAGCGATGGCCTCCGACAAGGCACCGGTGATGGCGGAGTGTACTTCCTGCCGCACAAACTGCCGCAAATTGTCATTCCTAATCAATCTCAATCTGAAATTCTCCCCATTATCGTTTGCAAAGGTGCTTCCCTCTTGGAAGCACATGTTCTTTTCTCCTACGTATCGGCTCACATGAGTAACGATGAATCTGAGACCTTTGATCGGAGGAGTTACTTTTGCCCCGCCTCCGCTTCCATCCAATATGCCACCACCCCGCTTTGCAGCATCTGATGGTTATGTGGCATTCAGTGAAAAATAAATAAATTAATTAATTAAATAAAAACACTCCCGGCCAAGCTTGGCCACAGCAAACATGACACGTTACTTGAACCATTTCTACTTATTTATACCATCTTTCTGTCTTCAGGATGCTGAGTCGAATGGTCTTGGTTCGAGGAATTTGAGACGCTCCCTTCCTCCTTTATCCCCAATCGAACTCCCGCTCTTCCACCGAAACTGGGTGACCCTATCCCAGGAGGATTTAGGAAAGGGTTTGCTCCCACACTGGAGCTGGCGCTATTCCGCCGACTTGACTTGACACTTGACTCCGGTGTGGGAGCAAACCATTTCCTAAAAAATCATCGCCGAAGTCGCAACCACTATTTCATAGAGGGGGATTTGTATGCAAAATGTCACTAAAAGCGCCATTTCGTTCTTATGAAAGCATGGATGAAAGCTATTGGCCCATATGTTGTAGTCTTTTGGATGCTGAGTCGATAGGTCGTGTTCGAAGAAGGCTGCGATGCAGCGTTTGGCCCTTATTCCCCAATCAAACACGGGTGAGTAAGCGGTCACGTGCTTGTGCGAACACCAGTCACCTGGTCATCGTACCTGCAGGCTACACATTTTTTGACACCAAGGTTCAACTCAAGGGTTCAAAGGGGGTTCAACTCGAGTGACAGGAACGCGCCCAAACAGGCTGTAAGTTGTAAGGAGCTGAGCTGCTCACTTTGCACCAGATGTACAAGTCATTGCCTGCTTGCTGGTTGTTTCACCAATTGCTTATTCTTCCAGCCACGAACGCCACATCGGAGAGGTCATTCAGTGGACTTCGCAGCCTGAAGACGTTTTTCAATCCACACAAGGCCGTGTCAAACATCTTTCTCCAAAGTATGAGAATTCGCATACATCAAGAGGTTATACAAATAATTTCATAGAGCGGCGCTGTGCCACGATCACTCACGAATCTGTGACTTTGCCAAAAGCATTTCAACTGACGATGTAATTGTATAACCTGTATAGGTGCACTACATGTACTGGTACATTGTACTTCGAAGTAGTAACGATTCGGTCATATCATTTTAAGGTAACAAATGTCCCTCCGGACCAGTCAAATATATGGTAGCTACGGCCCTGGCATACATGATGCCGTGCACTATGTTCACATGCACACATCAATATTCAGCACATGAGGACAATTTATTTGGTTTTGTGTCTTTGAAAAATACTTGATGTCACAAGAGTTTGTTGCAAAGCGCATTTGATTAGTGCATTCCACCTCCAAAGCTCACCTTATCTTGAACATTAACTGCTATGCCTTTTTTTATTAGCAGCTCACATAGTGCTTTATGTCCACGGGCCGCGCAGACATATAGAAGTGATAGTGGGAGGCAGTCCTATTGGGTCACCATAGCAACAAACAAACAAACACACACATATACATTCTTACAATCACTTGCAAAGCATACAAGTTCCAGATTTTTCCTTTCTATTGCAGCATAGTACCATACACATGTAATCAAAGTGCAAATGACTTTTCCAAAAACACAGCATATCTCATCTTAGTGTGTGTAGTAGAGGACAGGGACATAGTAAATACTGGCTGGAACTTGACTTGAAATCCACAAAAAAAAACACTTGGATCAGTGGTCCCCATGTACAGAACTCATAACCTCAGATTAGTGATACAAAGAGTACATAACCCCAAGAGTGTGCAACTGCCCACACAACCTTAATCCAGTGCTGCTACGCCAGAACTTCACATCACACGTGATTCAAAAGGTTACGCTGGCAAGCAGTGCAAAGTGACCACAGGAGAGTTGAATCCAAAACAGGGTTGCATTCACTTGTACTTGTACTTGCTCACTGCCAAACCTGGTCACGTGGGTCTCCCCGGGAGAAGGGAGAGAGACTCAAAAGGAATCTTGGAAAGATGACTCAATTGGCCATTGAACCACCCAACGGCCGACACCCCCTGAAATCTCCAAACTAGGGTGGATTTGAAATGATCCCACTTATGGGCTCACCACACCTCAGTAAGTGGGTGAGGACAAGGTGCAGAAAAAGGATTGACGGCATCAGGGTATCCGTCCCAGGATCCAACTGCAGGTACCCTCTGCCCCCTCTGATACAAGCTTCACTAGCACCATTGATTACACAAGAGTTAATCTAGCCAGAAGCAGTCCATGGTTAACAGGCATGTATACTTCAAATAGAAAGTATATGAACCCTGAAACCAACAAAGGTGGTAGGTACAACAATACACCTTCAAGCAGCCAAGCCCGAAGGAGACAGAAAACTGGCGATGTTTTGCAGGGTGACGCTCTTGCAGATCCGCCCAGAGACACCAGCAGCGATGAAAACTAGAAGGTCAGCCCAAGAGTCGATACAGTAGATATCTATCTACCAACTCTTGGTTGAGTTTTTAGTTGGTTTGTATTTGTATTTATGGATTCTCCACAGGCCTTAGCCTAAGTCGAGGGAGTCTCCGTCAATAGCTTATGAAGAAGAAGCTGAGGAGAAAAATAAAAATAGGAAATAGAATGTTGCGGGGTGGTAGTAATATAACACACTGCTCTATGACATCGCTACTCTACTTGGAATGAAACCAGAGGGCTCATAACGGATGATATCAAGGGTCGTCATCTGGCTATTGATAAGGTGGCGGAGCTCAAGAAGGCACTGAATGTGTCTTCGCCTTGCGAGGCTGGGCCACTGAAGGTGCGCGAAAAGTGAGGCTTTCGGCTCCGTTTGAGGAGGGTACAGGCCATACTGCCGCAGGATCACACGTCCCACTCTTGCATGTAGCCGTTCAAGGGTAGTAGCCTCAGCACTGGAGAGTTTAAATTGCCAGAGGGATGAGGCGTATTCAACCACAGGTCGAACATATCCAGTGTACAAGCGGCTGGCTACGGCTGGGGTGATACGCTTGGTCATGTGGATCACCAGGACCGCTCGCTGACGAAACTTTGTCGTGCTGGTGGCGACGTGGTTGGTGAAGTAGTTCTGGTGCTCATTTGTACAAATGATTGAGTTTTGAAGTGAAGTGCACATTTGAACAAGCCGGACAAAGTAGCTCAACTAAAGTAAACCGTGTGTACAGTAAAACCTTCAACTAACGACCACCCCTTGGTGCCAGAAGAAATGGTCTTTAGTGGCATGTGGTCTTAAGTTACAGGTTTGAACCGCGCGACCATAATTCCATGCCTGATGTGCATGTCAAAATGCAGCTAATGAAAATTCCCACCACTTGCGCAATGCCATTTCTCCTTTGAGCAGTAGCATCGATCATAGAGCAGGTTCGAGCAATTACTCTCCAAGACGTTTCCTATAATGTTTGCTCATGAGAGCAATTAAAAATATGACAGGTGCAGTGAAGCCCATAGTCAAAATGAGATTGCGTTCATTCATGCAGCTGTAGTATCGAAAGAGTCCATTCAGGACAGAAAATCATCAAAATTTCGAAGAAGGAGCTTCGAACAACCTTTTATTTCCTGCACTGCTGTCGCTAGTTACTGGTCAAAATCGACTATGGGACAAGAAAAGGCGGTCGCTGGATGCGTTCAGCAGGTCGCTTATCACAGTGCATTTCTATATGACCGTCCGTGCCTGGCGAAGTGGTCTGAAGCAGCAGGCTGGCTGTTAGTCACGGTGGTCTTTAGTTACAGGTTTTACTCTATTATGGCTTTGAGGCGCATTGTTCACCACATTTACAAAGAGAGGAACATTCAATATTCTAGGAACATCTTTGACAGCGAAGTGACGCTGGATGATCATGTGCTCAGTTTATAAGAATAAACAAACCAGTGATCAGAACAAACAGTTTCACACTGAGCACTTCGGCCAGTACTCACCTCTCGTGGCTGACTAAAGCGGTTGAACATAACTTTGCCATGTAAGAGCGACAGATCACACCAGAGTAAAAACTGGACACAATGAATGCTACCATAGTAGCATGCTGCCAGCATCAGAAGAGCCTGAGTATGCAAGCACAAATGCGCACGCACGCACAAACAAGCACACAGATACGTACATACATGCATGCACACACGCACACGGTGACATGCTTACTCACACACACACACACACACACACACACACACACACACACACACACACACACACACACACACACACAGACACGCATGCAGATACATACACACACATATACACACATACACACACAAAACACACAAACAAACAAAACACACAGATAAAGATCCACACATGCTATCATGCTCAAACACACGTCCACGCAAACACACAAACCAACACAGACAACACACAAACACACAGACGATTGCATGCTCGCATATACACGCACGCACACGCACGCACACGCACACGCATATTCACTACAACACACAGCAACTTGCGGTACGGGGAGTGCCGACCAGCAGAGTGAGAGGCTACGGAAAGAAATACGTAGACACTGCCGGAGAAGAATGTTGGCAGAGCCAAGTATCTACGAGAGAGGATTCAGGGTCGGCTGGATAGACACTGCCGGAGCAGAATGTTGGCGAAGCCAAGTATCTACAAGAGTCTGCGTCCGAGGAACGGCGACCGAGGCCCTGAGTAGCCGGAAATGAGCGTGGCCAACACCCCGTTTATTCACTTTATCAAAGCAGATTAGTGATGAGAAATGGGAGGTGGGAGGGTGAAACACTACGAGCAAGCAAGAATGATCATCGCACAGAACGGATGGAAATAAAACAGAGCAAACTCTAGCAAGACATGCAACAATGCATGCCACCCACATTGAGCTACAAGCAAACGTCATCATGACGCCGCCACACGCTGCCCACATCGGAGGCAAGCGACATGCATGAACGCCACGTAGAGAGACACGTTCAATGTTAGGTAGAGAGATTAATTCAATATCATGCAGAGTACCAAGCCGCACAGAGACCATAGCCAGCAGCAAAGCATGGGCATGCAGTAACAGCACTATTAAACGTAGCAGCATAGATTGAGCGGTAGCACAAAGATGCGTGCACCCATTAATCTGCATTATCACCATAATGCTACACACACACACACACACACACACTTACACACTCAGAACTCAGAACTCAGACATGCCCATCGCGGAAGCAACTTGTGCTAGGATCACACCATTCAACAGCTTGTGAGGCTGATGATTTGACCGCAACTAATTTAAGCCTGGTATCCACCACGCAGCTGATTGAAGTGGCTTTTTCTGGCCAGTGAATCCCTATTTTTAATTTTTGTATTTTTCATTTTTCCGTTTTTTGCTCACACGCATGCACGCACGCACGCGCGCCCCAACACACACACACACACACACACACACACACACACACACACACACACACAAACACACACACACAAACACACACACACAAACACACACACACACAAAGAAACGCACACACACAAACACACACACACACACACACACACACACACAAAGAAACACGCACACACACATACACACACACAAAGAAACACACACACACACAAAAACGCACGCAGGCTAGCACATTCAAATACGCGCGTACACACCCAAGTATGTACGCACAATCACACATACACACACGCAAGCACGCACACACGCACACACTTGTACTTGTACTTGCTCACTGCCAAAACCGGTCACGCGAGTCGCTCCGGGAGAGGGGCGAGAGACTCAAAAGGAATGTTGGAAAGATCGCTCAATTGGCTATTAAACCGCCCAACGGCCGACACCCCCTGAAATCCCCAAACTAGCGTGGCCTTGAAAGCAGTCAGCTTCATTCTTCGTCTGAATTTGATGAGGACTCACTCCTTGATGACATCAAGTCCGCATCCTCGCTGACTCTCACCTCCAGTGACTCTGCTGCTCAGACTCTCCAAAAGCCATGGAAAGAGCCATACAGACACAGCCGAACGCTCCTCATATTAGAAGCAGGGTACTCGTGCCAGCATGTTTCCACAGCCAAGAAGTTCCTATAGGGTTTTCTTCACCACGAGTGACACGTCTGTCTTCAGGGTGTGGAAGAAAGTCATCGACGTTGAGATCGGGACTTTGTGCAGACTGAACAACAACCTGAATGTCGAACCCTTTTGCTTTCCCCTGCGCCGCAAACACGCGTGCATTGATTTATTTTGGCTGTGGGCGAACGTGTACCATCGTGCTGATGCAGCAGTGGCTGGCCGGCTTCTGTATGAAATCTGGGCCCTTCTTCAAGCCACGCGGTCTTTCAAACTGTTTCTCTTTTTCGCACGTCAGTGTTATGCGCCTGGATTGTATTCTGATGACATCCTGTCAAGAAATGGTTATGCTTCGCCGATTATTTCAAGGACTCCACGCTTTCGGAGGTTCAAAAGCCTGTCAGAACAAAGGACAACACTGCGTCTAGTCTTTGTAGGGATAGATCACTGACATGTTTGTCTAATGCCAACAGAAAGACAATAAAAAGAACACAAAACGGAACAAAGTTTTGCTTAACGGAGGAAGTACACACACACACACACACACACTCACTAACTCACTCACTCTCTCACACAAACACACACACACACTCATGCAATCACAAACACACACACAAACACACACACACACACACACACACACACACGCACAATGTACAACCTTGTTAAGAGCAGTACAACCAACTCACTTTTGCCCAGGAAGCACTGAAGTTTTTACTATCATGGTTGCATCGTTGTTCCTCAAAACTGTATACCACGAGATGTTGCTGAGAGTGAGCTGCAAAAGGGCAATGCCTCTCGGCGTCACTTTTCTCACCAGCCCACGGGTGACACTAATTTATGCGGTTATCCACGACGCGCAGGTGCTTTATCACATCAGAGAAAGGAGCACCACTGTAAGTCTGTATCCGCAGTGATCCTTTCTGCTCATGCTAAATCTAGTGCTCCTGGATGTGTTTTTTTTCAAGGCTGAGCTCAGCGGAAGAGTGTGAAGTTTTGTTTTTTCACGGCTGAGCGTAGCGAAAGAGTGCAAAAAACGTATTTTTCACTCACAAATATTTTCGTGCATTTCCTCTTGTTCTGCGCAACTCCGTTGAACCTGCCATCGTGGTCTTTGTTTTTCCTCGTGGTAGTTGAAGTTTTCAAGTGCTCCAGTTTTTAGTTTCCTCTCGCAGCCACAACTCATCTTATTATTTTTTTCATATTAGATCTTCAGTGTAATAGTCCAGGAGAAAGAAGCGACATTGCCGTGCACCGTCTATAATGAATCGGTCCAGCCTTCAAAAGGTCCACATCGCCTGATTGGGCCTGCAAACTGATGTACCAGTAACCTGACGTTTTTGGGAGCTGCAGATCGATCTGCGAAAGGCGGAAATAGCTAAAACAAGCTGAGCGTAATCCGCCACACACCAGCAAGTTTGGTACCAGGTGGAGCAGAGTCACCGTTGACAGCTACACAAATCATTGCGTTTCGGAAGACCAGCAAAGATTGTGGAAGTAACATTTAGTTGACAAACAATTGGTCACTCAGTTCCGACATGTCGAGTCGACACCTACCTGTACCGCAACCATACTCCTCAAAGGCTTCAGCGAGTCCTTGAGAGTTTTCCGTGGGCGCAGTGATGAGGTCGAGAGTCTACGGAGTCGGTGATGAGCGCTGTCGATCACAACATCGTGTCCCAAATGGTGGCGAAGCTCCTGGCAGAGGTGACACCGCAGTCACACTGAAGTAGTTGTCTGATATCGTGGCGAAGGGCAACAAGGTCGTAGCTGTCTGTTGACAACACCAACCGGAGTTCACTGGGAGAGCCAGCCAGTTTTCGGACCGCACATGGACCGGAGAGAAAAGATAAGTATCAGTACTTGAGATTGTGGATGTTTTTTGGATAATTTACGAAGTACATAATCATGTAGTTGACACGATCGAAAGGGGTGTACATGCCGTCGTATTCAAGGGAGCAAACAAACGCCCAACCCGTACCGCCCTAGGCCCTACACAGGGTGTATGATCAATGTCACGGGACCATCAGAATGTTATGGATGTGCAGAGCGATGTACATGACTGTATCGTGTTTGTAGAGGCAACCATGAACAACAAGAGTAGTTAGTTTGTCAGTCTGAGTACAAAAATCGGGCAACAATGGGTAAATGTTGTCCAAGTCAAACATCGTGCAAAATGCTAGTAGATTTCCAGCCAGGTGTAATCGGGGTGTACCAGATTTCGACGTCCGCAGCCATCGGGCACACAAGGGGGGACAATTGGCCGGCAGGACGAGACAAATGTTCGTTTGTTTTTTCACGGGTGGGGCCCACCAGACATGGTTCCGGAAGAAATTCACGCAAAAGTTGACTGCTTGCTGACTTCAAACTTGTGTTCCTGAGGTGCCCATCCACCTCACTCACGTCAGATTATTAGTAGTATTATTCACACATTTCTACCGAATGAGTACGCGGCTAAGCAGTACAGGGAGCCAGCATATGTTCTCTCAGCATAAAAGCAAGCAAAGAATCAGGAGTGCATGGGCAATGGAAACAGTTCCAAAGTGCAGCCTGGGATTGTATGAGTGCAAACAAGTACGACAATAGTCATGGGCTATTGCAGCAAGCGACAACAACACAACAGATAATGGGACAGCAACCGCGACGGGGGCGTTTGATGTTGACCAGGGGTGGGAAGCAGTACTGTCCAGGTTTCCCTCGTCCAGAGAGTAAGACTAGGGTTCCCGAACACGCTCAATATAAGTGTACGTTCCAGACGGAGCGATAACTAAAGCGGCAGGTAGCGCGTAGTCCTCACTCAGTCGCTGCAGTCTGCAATGTGGGAGGTGAGGTAACATGATGGCACACTGCACAACTCCACTGTTGTAATGCCAAACCAATTCATAAAGGTAAACCACCACTTTGATTGTGTAAGGTGTGCAAAACACCCCAGTCAGCTGCCAGGCCAAGTCAACTGGGTAAAGTTTTACGTATCTTGATCTCGCCTGTGCATGCCGTCCTTATGTTTTCGGTGTTGAATCTTAATGAAGTATTTATATATGTTTTCCTCTTGCTGTCCTTTCAGTACCAAGCCAGTACCTAGGCCGTGGAACAGACACCGGATCACCCACGACTGAACATGATGCAAGCGATTGGGAACGGGCTTGTGTGGTGTATAAATGGGTAACCCAGCTTGCCATTATTTAGTGTGTATGTGAGTGATGCCGGAGTGAGTAAGAAGCCCGATGGGCAGTGATGACACATGATTGCGTAGGGCTTGATGCCATAATCACGGAGAAGCCCAATGGGCAGTGAGGACACAAGATTGTGTATGGCTTGATGCCATGATGAGGGAGAAGCCCGATGGGCCGTGATGACACATGATTGTGTATGGCTAGATGCCATGATGAGGGGGAGGGAGAAGCCCGATGGGCAGTAATGAGTATGGCTTGGTGCCATGATGAGGGAGAAGCCCGATGGGCAATGATGGCACGTGGTTGTGTATGGCTTAATGCCATGATGAGAGAGAAGCCCGATGGGCAGTGATGACACATGGTTGATGATGTCTGCCGCCACGATGGATAGCTGTGATGTTCCATACTTCAGTAATTCTCCAGGAACTTTGTCCGGCCCACAAGCCTTTCCGTTTTTGATTCGTTTCATCGCTGTTTCCACCTCCGCTGGAGACACTGCCACACTTAGCCGGTGAGGGACTGGCTTCTGGATAGCAGCTGATTGATCTCTACAGAATAGATCCTTGAAGTGCTCCGTGACGTGCTCTGCCTTCTGCTTATCTGAAGCCAAAATGTGGCCATCAGTAAAGCTGACCATGATACTGGATGGCTGAGATCCACTTTTCATGGCCGAAGCAGCAAGGAACATCTGAGCTGAGTCAGGTGCCTGCTCCACCTTCTCTGCCAGTCTGTCGAGGCGTTCATTGGCATCGGCCCGCTGAATAGAACGGATCTTGTGCTGTATCTGGTTCCGCTGCCTCTTTAGCTCTGCCAAGGAGTGGTGACCCGACTCAGCAAGAAGCCGAACCTCCCGCTGCTGCTCCGATAGGCGTGCCACTTCCTGGTTGGGCAGAGTTAACTTCCCGGATGTGGATCTGTGCATATGGCCAACACTGCTCTCTGCCGCTTTCAGGGTGCCATTTACTGCACTGGACCATTTCTGACATGGAGTATTTTTATGAGTTTCTTCTGAGCAAGGGTTGGTATGGCTGATGGAAGCGCTTTCTTTGAGTTTTGCTTTGTAGTCTTGCGTCACCGTGGCGTACGATGAAAGCCTCCGTACAGCCAATGGACCATCGAACCTCTTTGTTTTGGGGTTTGAGCGATAAGCTTTGAACAATCTTTGGAAATTAATGTCCGCGATGACAATTTTATGGTCGCTTGATGTCAGTGTCCCTGCATACGAGCAGGCACGTTTGATAAGGGGCTTGCAGCGAGCCGGTACTGCTATCAAATCAATCATATTGTATACTCTGCTGATTACACCAGCATCTCTGTTTGTGACTGAGCCAGTTCACGTTGTCCTGTAGCTCATGGAATACCGGAAAAGGGTGTTGGCAAGGACAGTTTCCCACGAATTTGCCCTCTGAACTAGCGCCTGGCCGTTGTTATTCCGCACTCCTCTACCGTATAGACCAATGCAAGGTGTCTTGCTGGTGCCGACTTTGCTGTTAAAATCGCCCAAAGAAGACACCAGAGTTCGGCTGTTAGGAGTATTCCATGCTTTAGAGAGGCAGTCGTAGAAATCTTCTCCCAGCGATGGGTTCTTGTCTGCCGACGGGGCTGTGGGTCCATACGCCACAACGAATCTCACATCGACAGAGGCCTCTGAGGAGCTCTTTGCGGGCAGCGAGAAGTCAGCGTAGCCGACTCGGTCCGACAGCTTTTTATGTTTTCTCTGGAATTCGTTGAAATATTTCGACACGGCGAATCTAATTCCCCCGTGGTGACCCGCGTCCTGGCCAGAGCCCACAAGCCTGTATCCGTCGTCGATAGACCTGTCAAACGGCTCTGCAATTTTTAGCTCCTGGAGGCCGCAGACGTCCACTCTGTAGGACAATAGGTCTTTCGCTAGCTGCTGTTTCTTGACATTTGAAGTTAGGCCGCGTACATTGAACGTTGCAATTCTCGCTTTAGCGAGGGTCGGTGAACTACGAGCCAGCATGCTACAGGCTGGCATTTCTCACAAGGATAAGCGTGGACAGAGATAGGTAGAGTAGAAGGATGAAGAAGAGAGATAGGAGAGAGAGAGAGAGAAAAAAAAGAACACTGAGCAGGCAGCCGAACACCAAAATACATATCATCCGTTAAAATGGTGTGCACCTTCCAGACACAGTGCTGTTCCGACAAAATTGTATGATGCAATGGTTCTCTAGCGAGTGATTTACAACGAAGTCACTGTCTGTTAACACATTACATGGGATCATAATGTTATTTGTCCTCCACAGATACAGGATGAGACATGTACAACATGCTTTGTATCATAAAGATGATGTCAACTTTGAATTCTGTCAGGACAGAACCGATGGTTGAGTTGCACATTTTTAGGGGCTATGTACTCTGGATGTACCTAATGTAGAGGTGTCAACGAGTAATAGGGTACCCGTGCTACCCGTACCCGTACTTCTTCCAGAAGCAAAACTTCGTGACTTTTCCACTACTTTTCTCTGCTGTTATTTTGCTCTCTCTCTCTCTGGTTCTGTTAGCGTGAAACACTGACATGACATTTCGGAATCGTAGGAAAGCATGATTCATATTTTGGAGAGCCGACAGTTGTCGCAGAGCAAGGGTGTCGACGCTGCAAACAATGCAAAGAGAATATGTATATTTTTATTTTTCGTCCATCAGGCGCAATGGGAAGAAGAGCACTGCGCTCACTGCTCCTCGTAGCTATTTTTTAGTTCCAAACTTGAGAGAGCGGGACAATGGTACCGAGGAGCAAGAAGAGTGCAAAAATAATAGAAATAGCAGCTAGCGTTTTGAAAGATTCGCCATCCCCGAAACGCCTGTTTGCATGCCAACAAGTCGGGCAAGATGTCAAAACTCCAAAACGCAGAGATGTGACAGTCGTCACTTCGCGCAACAGAGCAATATGAACAATTTCAAAATAGAAGTCGTTCAGCCACTGCAGAGCCCAGACCTCAACGTGGATGATCTCGCCTTTTCTAGCAGCCTCAACGATGTGTCCTTGGTCGCAAAGAAGAAGGCTAGATCTGATCGTGGCAGCCGGGAAGTGCTGGTACCACTATTATATCCCTCGGAGGAAATTTGAAATGTTTGGCGTTGCCTGTATTTGTTGCTTCGGGCATCCTCGAGCCAGAGCGGAGGCGGAAATGCGTACTAGTGCTGCAGCGCTACCGTGGTCTCTGCAGAGATGTTGGGAAGGCATTCAGGTAACAGCGAAGACGATCATGGACATGGAGAAGCTTCTCCATGACATACGACATCGCGTTAATCGACCTGCGACTTGGAACGGTTTCAGCGGTGATGAGTCGAGCGATGGCGACCCAGACTGAGACTCTACTCCCATTAATCGATCCTGTAAATATTTTACATATGTCGATTGAATGTGTTGAAGTGTTTCTCTTCTAAAAGAACACTTTTGTTGAGCTCAGTAACTTCTTGAAAAGTAATGTCAAAAAGTCACGAAGTTTTTGTTTCCGAAGGAAGTAGTAGGGTATCCATTTTTCTCCTGAGAAATCGATCAGGTGGTTGGAGTACAGTGTTATTGCAACGGTGCATGGAAATAGCATGGCTACATGTACATGCTACTACGGAGGATTAGCAAGACGACATTCGCGTTCGCGTTCGCAAACATTTTTCAGTTCGCGAACTGGATTGCGTACTTTCGCATTTTTCGTTCGGAAAAGTAGTCGGAACACGAATCGCGGATTCGTGTCAGGGCAGTCATAAATTTACCACGCTGTAGTGTCTGTACGCAATGTTCGTCGTGTCAACGTCATGCAAGTGCGAATTCTGTCTGCTAAGCCTTCTCATAACGCGAATTCCGTCACTGAGTTCGACTTTGCTTGGAGAGCGAACGCGAACGCGAATTTCATCTTGCTAATCCTCCGTATTGTACAATTTCTATGTAGCGCAAGTGCACACTCACAGTACAAACTGTGTCAAAATACCTGATAGGGTACCCGCACTACCCGGATAAAATACCTGGACCCGTTACCCGACAAAACCCCTACCCGTTGCAGCCCTAAACTAATGCACCGCTAAAAGTTGTTGAAATTAATTACAAGTTGTACATAGTTTGAGAGGTAAAAATTGCTTTGGTGCGACACTGGCAAAGCAGCATTCACTTGGGGGAGGGAGGAGATACTTCTGACTTACCATGATTGTCATGGGAATTCTCGCATTAAAAATACCAACCGTAAAGTATGGCTCCGGCACTTGTTTCAAGAGATCCGGTCTAATCACAGGTTTGGTTGGAGTGCCTATATTCACGGTTTGTCGGATTTGTTCCACATCGTCATCTTCACATGCTCTCACCAGATCTGCGTGAGGCGCATTGGTTGAGTAGTAGTGATCACTGTCCACATTAGCCAAATTTGGTGGTCGATACTTGTCCTCACTCTCCTCTTCAGACGCTGCTTCCATTCCTACAGTACAAACATAAGCACATGGAAAAGCAATGTCTACTTGTACATGGTAAGATTGCAAGGTGTATAGGTAAATACTGGGATTGCATGGTGTGTTGTAGGTAAATACTGGGATTGCATGGTGTATGGGTAAATACTGGGATTGCATGGTGTGTAGGTAAATACTGGGATTGAATGGTGTATAGGTAAATACTGGGATTGCATGGTGGGATTGCATGGTGTGTAGGTAAATACCGGGATTGCATGGTGTATAGGTAAATACTGGGATTGCATGGTGTGTAGGTAAATACTGGGATTGTATGGTGTATAGGTAAATACTGGGATTGCATGTTGTATAGGTAAATACTGGGATTGCATGGTGTATAGGTAAATACTGGGATTGCATGGTGTATAGGTAAATACTGGGATTGCATGGTGTGTAGGTGAATACTGGGATTGCATGGTGCACAGGTAAATACTGTGATTGCATGGTGTGTAGGTAAATACTGGGATTCCATGGTGTGTAGGTGAATACTGGGATTGCATGGTGTGTAGGTAAATACTGGGATTGCATGGTGTATAGGTAAATACTGGGATTGCATGGTGTATAGGTAAATACTGGGATTGCATGGTGTATAGGTAAATACTGGGATTGCATGGTGTATAGGTAAATACTGGGATTGCATGGTGTGTAGGTAAATACTGGGATTGCATGGTGTATAGGTAAATACTGGGATTGCATGGTGTGTAGGTAAATACTGGGATTGCATGGTGTGTAGGTAAATACTGGGATTGCATGGTGTATAGGTAAATACTGGTATTGCATGGTGTATAGGTAAATACTGGGATTGCATGGTGTGATTAATAGTATAAGTGAAGCGGACATTACAAAATGATGAATGAGAATACATGTATCTAAAATGGTTGTTCCTAATCGATTTTCTTGAGACTATCATCAGGGAAAATCGTCTCACAATAGAGGCTATACGGAGAAACAAACTACTTATAGGTTATCGGATAGTGGGAATGCTAGGTGAGGAGTCTCAGTTTTGTGACATTTTCTCAGAAGAGTCTCAGTTTTGTGACATTTTCTTTCTGAATGCATAGATTAGGATTGTGTTTACGGTATAAGGCATTTCTTCGCCTTCTGTCAGCGCTGGCAAGTCCGCCACGTTAGATCCACTCCGCATTACCCACAATCGAATGGCCATGCGGAGGCGGCTGTCAAGGCCATCAAATCTCTCGTGTCCAAGACCACCACCAACGGAGACATTAATGTCGACGCCCTCCGTCGTGGCTTATTGGAATGGCACAACACTCCCCGTAGCTCCGGTCAGAGCCCAGCGCAGGCCCTGTGTGGCCGCCCCTGTCGTCATTCGTGCTTTCCCACCGGACCCGTTTTGCCCCAGCGTGGCAAGATACCGCTGCCGAAATCGACAGTCGTGCCTCTGCCCAGTCTGAAGCAGCCAGTCAGCACTACAACTAGTCTGCCCGTTTTCTGCCTGCCCTCCACCTTGGTTGCCCTGTGGATCTACAAGATCCCCGCAGCAAGTTGTGGAACGCCCGCAGTACCATTGTCGCCATTGGGAGCCACCGTGACTACATGGTCAAGCTTCCCAGTGGCCGAATATACTGGCGAAACCGTAGCTTTCTTCGTCCTGTTGTCTTGCCCGTGAGCACCTACACAGCCGATGCCTGCTACCCCCCCCCCCCCCCCATCACTCAGCTTGCCCCGCCAGTCCGGCGCAGTCAACGAAGCCGCCAACCCCCGTCAAGGCTGAATATTTCGAACACTCGTGACCAAACTTATGATTAGCTGCTTGTGCGTCTTTCTGTCTCTTGTTGAGCTCAGCTATGTTTGTATTCAGTTATCTCTATCTGCTTTGCCGTCCTTTCTAGTTGGTATTAGATGCCTTGGTGTCATCTCAGAAGGGGCGTGAGATACATGTATGTAAATGTAATTGTTATATTTCTATCTCAGAAGGGACGTGATGTATCATGCTAGCTACTCATGTATTGTGCATGTACATCAAGTTGTTATCACCCGTATAACGCATAATGTTACGTTATACGCCTTGCTTCACGTGATTAAGGGGGCTCAGTACTTCTGCGCGCGCATCGAAATCTGGGCATGATTTTATGCAAAATTTCGCGTTTGAAAACATTTTGTCCGCGGCTGGAGAAAGTTTTTTTGCGAGAAATAGTCGTGTTCAAAAGTTTATTTTGCGAGAATTCAAAGAAACTGCAGTCCTTGAACAGTTTGAACGTTTTGTGTTTTCCATTTTGGTTTGCTGGATGTCGGCGATCGATGGAGCTATGGAGCTTCGTGTCAAGTACTTGTAGTTATCAATAGGCACGGCCGTTTTCGTGGGCGCTCAGGAACAAAGCGTGTTCAATCTTCTTCAGGTCGTGTAGTTCTAACTTCCAGCTCAGATATGCCCTTTTCTCAGTCTCGCCTGCCAGTGAAGACAAGTAAACCTGCAAGATTGTCCAGAGCCCAGCTACCAGTGATACATGTATTTAGTCTCAGAACGCAGGTAAGTGACATGCTTCTCTCAAGTTCAAGTGCATCCACTTGAGTGGCACTTGGAACGATATCTATTTTTTCTTTTCCAGTCGCCAGATAAAAATATTACTGACGACTGTGAGAGAAAAACTGGTCTTGTACCTGCAGTACCTGGAGATAGTGGAGTCAGAGTGTAGTGTCTGCAAGTAGAGACTTGATCTCTGTGAGTAATGAGTGTGGTCTGGAACAGCCAGTAGGAACAGCACAGCGACATGCCAGTGAAGTGTTCTATGTGTGGGCAGGAGAATTTGGTCAGACATGTGAGTCTCATGCTGGATGGAGTGGAAAGCATGGATCCTATGAACTCTAAGGCTGCACTGGGTGAGTTCTGACCTGTGCCTGTGTTTCTCAGGAGAAGGCTGTGGGTTCAAGGTAGTATGGCTGTGCTTGTATCATTGAACTATGACAGGAATCTGTATATATTATAAAACTGAATATTGAAATATTGGCAATATGCCTTGTAGAACAACTTGAGCAGAGACAGTCACAGACACGTAATATTATGCATGGTCAAGTTGCCACATTTTCATGAGCTCGGCCTTGACCTAGACTGTAAATGCAGCATAAAAGTGTTATGCATGTTGTGAAGAACTGCAATATTACCCAGGCAAGGCAAGGCAAGGAATGTCAACTGAAATCATGAATCACAGCAGTACACATTGCAGCACTAGTCAGGCTTCTGTCACAGTCTCAGCAAACAAGCTGGAGTGGGCGTTTCGCTGCAACATGGGTGTTTGTAGAAGTCTAAATATTCTTCAACAACAACAACGTTATATATCATGCCTACAGGTACAATCATCTGGTGTTGGCATTTGAGAGGAATCAGGGAACTGGCATCCTTGGATTATTGCACGAACCGGGTGGCGATGGGCGTGTGCTAGTCACAACGAGTTCTGCTATTGCAAAACGCATAACACATCATCTAGCATCTGGAAGACCCAACACCAACACCCCTATTTTACACACTGCTCCAGACCGCACAAGTACTCCAGCAGCTGCAGGAGGTGCAGCATCGTCCCCACTTTCTACCACTCGTGATGATGCTGCAGTTATCTGCTCAAACATTCACGTTGTGCTGCACACTGGAGGCGCGAACCCACAATACCAACAGTGGCTGCTAGCCATCGCATCCAGCAGTAACCAAGCAACTCAAGTTGCTCATTGACAGCGTTATACTTATAATCCGTTGTTTTGTACATTTGATATACCCATGCATGTATGTATGTATGTACATTATATTATGTATGTACATCACAATATACAACAAAGATGTGAATAACACAATTCAGTTGTGACTGTTGCATGTGGTATTGTCTGGGATTGGTCTATAGCAAATGCTTCTCGCCCTACATAGTCAAAGTGAAGCTTGAATGAAGTCGATACACTCATTTTGGCAACAATGCTGAATCTGACTTTCAAGCTGAATATGCAAAATCCGTCACAAATTTTGTTTCTCACGGAGAAACGAGATGGTAGACATAAAAATCTATTTTTGTAGAGCCTTCCTATGGCCTTGAAGAGCAGATAATGACCATAAAATGGACCATGTTATTGTCTCGATTCTCCACTATTCAAACAAGTCTAAAGTCCGGTCTGCTGAAATACGCGTTTTGCCAAATCACATTCTGGGCTACCTTGGCCTCTCACAGTGGTCTGGGCATATGTTGTGGACATTTTCCAAAGAAGACAGTATTGTAGGCCCCTCCATACCCACTTTCAGGATTTTTGAAGTATTACCAACTGGAATTTTACGCCTTTAGTGAGAAATCATTGAATTTTTGCCGAAAAACATAGGTACAATAACACCCCCATAGCTGGGGAACCACATAATAAACCTATCCTTGAAATAGCCCAGACCAGTTCTCTAGGTGTCTGGCCATCTGAAAACACACAGTTCAGATCGATTTACCATAATGTTTTTTGCTCCCTCTTCGGGGTTGAGCCCCCTTAAGTCATGTCTCTATTGGACGTAATGTGTTCTTTTCCTTGCTCTTCTTCCTCACTTGAGAATGTAAATAATTAGTGTCTATTATCTTGTCACCAAACTAGTACCTGTTGTCTTGTATTAGTGGTGTGCATGAGAACATAACATGGCGCAGTGAAGTTTCGTGCTTGTGTTTTTCTTGTCCGTGGTGCATCCCGCTTGTGTTCGCACAAGGCCTGCAGGTTCAATTAAAATTTTATTTAATTCTCTAGTCGTGACCGTCTTTCGAAATGTCAGATGCAGCTGCACCAAGTGTGCCGAGCGCAGATATCGCTGCTCTTGCCGATCTCCTCAAAAAGCAGATGGAGGCAGCCAATGAACGAGAGAAGCGTCTTGATGTGAGCCCGAGCGCGCTAAAACATGACCACAGCTTTTTTTGAAAAAGTCGAGATAATCGCGATTTGAATTCCGCGGCAAAAAAATACGAAGTGCAGTGCAACGCGAGTCGCTGTTGTTGTTCTCCTCGGTCGA